ATTTGGCGCGGCCACTTAGGCGAGAGGGGAGAGGGAGGTGATGAGCGGAAAGAAGGAGGATCCGTGTCGCTGGCTTTGCTGCGGATACGCGGGGTACGGGAAGAACTCGAGGGAGGGTACACTGCAGATAGCACAGGAGTGGGGAGGGAGTTGGCAGTGCTTGAGCACACTTTTGGGTGTTGGATTGGAGACGTGAGGAAGGGGTTGGACAGATGTGAGGGAGGAAGGGGGATGGTGTGTGCAAGTTTCGCGCGCAGGGACTCGAGGCAGGAGAGACGAGTTGGGTGAATACATTGAACGGCTGCATGACGCAGATCCTTTGGCGTTCCCTAGGATACTGCAAAGGGAAGGGACGGGTGAAGACTGAAAAGGAGGAAAGCAAGAAAAAAGCAAAAGCAAAAAAGAAAGTAAAAGCAAAAAAAAAAGAACAAGCAAGAAAAAAGTAAAAGCAACAAAGAAAGTAAAAGCAAGCGAAAAACTCGCCATTAATAGGAAACATCATCTGTAAAGCTTACGCTTAAGTAAAGGAAACTGAAAGCGAATAAGGTCAAGATGTTGTTTATGCAAAAGCTCAGAGCTCACAGCTTTACCTAAGCATCAGCTCCATAAATGTGGAAGCTTTACCTAAGCATCAGCCTCATAAATATGGAGGCCTTACCTAAACATCATCTTCACAAATACGGAAGATTTAAGCCAACGAAAGACCCATGATTAGTAAACAACTTCTCCATTTATGAAGCTTATGCTTAGGTAAGCTTCCGTATTTATGAAGCTAATGCTTAGGTAAAGCTGAAAGCCCGAATAGCTGATGCTTAAATAAAACTGTGAGCTCTCAGCTTTACTTAGGCATCAGTTTCACCTTATTCGCCTCCAGTTTTCTTCACCTAAGCATCAGCTTTACAGGTGGGGATGTCCTCTACTGATGGCCGGTTTTTCGTTTGTTTTTCTTGCTTTTACCTTCTTGCTTTTACTTTTTTCTTGCTTTCTTCCTTTCCAACCACCATCTCTCTTTCCCCTTAGGTGGCCTAGGCGACTGCCAAAAGATCTGCGCCATGTAGCCATTGAATGTACCCACCCCCTCCCTTCCCTCGAATCCGTGCGCGCGAAACCCGCACACATTACCCTCTCCCTCACCAACCCAAATCCCCTCCTCGTCTTAAATTTCACATCCAAAAAATATGCTCATGCATTGCCAACTTTCCTCCCTCCTCCTGTGTCCTCCGTAGTGTAAATAGGCAGATCCAGGGCGATTTCTTGGGGAGGAGGGGTGACAAGGGGTATCGAGCAAACTTTTGTAAACACGGATCCTCCTCATTTCCGCTCATAAACCCTCCTCTTACCACTCTCCCCTCCCCTGTGTGGCCACGCCACGTTCCCACTCAAACACCCCTCCTCCGAGCCCCACGTCCACCACCTCACACGACACCCACTCCAACCCACTTCCTCCTTTGCCCCTACCCTTTCCCCTCTTCGCCCCTCTGGCCCCCGTTTTCTTCTTTCCGTCCCCTACCCTCCCTTCTTCTCCCCATCAGCGAATCGGTCGGCAAATTATGCAGCGAACGAGACGAACGCAGGTCAACCGAGGTCAGTCGAGTCGAGCCGTGGTGAGCCGAGGCCGACGAGCCGGGCCGAGTTTTAGTAGTTCCCCATAAGCACTCGCTAAACAGCACTGCACAGAACGTATGGTCACACCAGCCGACTTGGTGCGAGCAGCTGTTTTTTTAAGATTGGTGACTGCGTAAGAATGAAATTGAAGGTTTGCAATAAAAGGATAGAATTCAGGAAGGTATGACTCAATAATCTGGAGAAACAAACATAAATAATCATTGCCAACGCGAAATGGGCGGGCCCGTGCGATCATGCGTTTTTTCAGTGTTTCGTGCTGTAATAAGATCACTCGAAATTCCGCTGGCAAGAACCTCTGACACACTGGTCCTCGAATTTCGGGAAGCTAATTGTCCACGCTATACTTGGACAGGGAACGTTCCCTTGAAATCCCAGGTCCCCAGCTTTCC